GTGTTGCAGCAAGCAGGTGGTGCAGAGGTCTGGAAGGTCTGGTCTCCCTTGGTCTTCCATGGGATGCTTAATGTGGAGGGAGATAGAGATTGACCAGCCATTTTGTGATTCCATGGATTGATCGAGTCTTCTGATCCTTCTTTTTTTCTTTATATTTTGGGTATTGGAGCTTTTAAAAATGTTTGCTTTCAGGTATTTTTACTCATGTGAAGTGATGTTGGTTGTTCTGAGATAAGGTTTTAAACTAAAATGTTGCTTCCTGTTTTAGTGTCTGAACTCTGACAGGGTGACAGGGACCTTGCTGGTGTAGTCTTTTTATAGGTTTTATAAACCACTGGAGTCTATATCAGTCGTTTTAGTGTCTGACCTAATGCTTGACGCTGGCAATGCTTTGTTGATTTAGATGGCGACTCAGATTTTTCAGCCTCTTTCTCATTTCTTTTCTCCCACCTCCCTTTAAATTCGCCTGTGACTGCTAACGATACCAAGTCTTGTTTCAAACATCCTAGAGTGTTTCTCTTAAACACGCCATCTGGTGCCAAATGAAAATTCTTAGGAGTGAATATTAATCACAAAGGGCACAGTTGTGGTACTGTTATTGATAATAATGTAGATTTTTTTTTGCCTAATTTTTACCTATTTCACCAGTGTTTAAGCCCCTGACTGCCCCTTCTATGCTGCTTCCAAAAGTGATAGTGTGTGATAAGATTTTTACCGTCCTTTCTAAAGTTTGTTTTTTTCTTTAAAGTGAGTCCTGTTCTTCCTATTTCTTTCAGCAGAAATGAAATCCCAGGTAAGTATAAGTATTCAAATATTTGATTAGTAAGTTGCAGATATCTCCAGTACATTAAATATTGTTCACTGACAGATTTCGAGGTCAAAGCTCTGCAGGACCATCTCTCTACAGACAGTTATTTTTCAGACTGTGTTAATATATCTCTTTTGGACTTAGTCTCTACATTTATGGATTCAACCTTGGTAGTAGTGAATTTGCATCACTACTTGGTTTAGAGTACAAGTTAGACATTTGCCCTCCTGGAGCTTGAATTCTTGCATTTCAATAAAAGGTAGAGGGCTTGAGGCTTAAACAAAGAAGCCGCCATATGAATATGTTTCTACTACTCTACTGCATTTCTACTCTCCAGTCACAGGTCAGTTTCTTGTTAGTGCTTTAGATTATGTCTTTCCAAAGCACCTAGGCAGTGCACCTATTCTGTAGCTGCAGCTGTTGCCTGAATGTACCTTAGCTGACAAGTTATTGATAATTGAGAACTTGAATTTGTGATTCTTACTGCTAGTTAAAACCTAAGCAAGGAGTCTTGTGTGTAATTCTGAAGCAGAATTACATTGTAATGAACTGTGTACCTTTAGTAATGTAAATCCAGGAACACCAGTTAAGGGATTTATTAATTTATTTTTTAACTGAATAAATATCAGTTAAAGGTTGCCAGCATGGTTACAGGTAAACTGACTTTCCAAATTCACGGAACTACTAAATGTGGGATTGGATAATAGACTTCCAGTGCCACTGAGGCTGTGATCTGTGGCCATATTACATAGCACATCATTCCTCCTATAGGGAGGAACTTTTTCCTGGCACGAAAAGTAGCCGCTCTGGTTGAAGCTTTGCTTATTGTAACAGGCTTTTATTTCCAGGTAACATGTCTGTGGAAGACTTAATTCTGATAGTTATAGATATTACTGGAAACTAATTTGTTTTTTTTTTCTATTATATTCTGCTTTATTGAAAAAGTAAAGCATTTAAATTGTGCTCCAGAAATACAGATGTTGTCTTGCGATCTTTAAATAAATGGATGATTTCCCCTTAATATGACTTGATGTATTTTGTCTCGTTATGTTGAGTATTACTGACAAAACCTACGCTTGAGTAACTCAAAACAGCATAACCAGGAAGTGTTTCCCTATTTTAGGTGTGATGTTGTTAGGAATTAACTTTCTTAGCCAAGTCTGATGGGAGGATTGGAGATACTAAATAATCCATTAAGGGGACATCAGAACCCCAAATAACCATCTTTGCTGTGAAGGGTCATTTTTGTTTACCTTCCATTCTGGGGATTGAGCAGAGGGCCTTATGTGTGTCAAGCACGTGTATACAGACTGGGCTACAGAACGGCCTGTGTACTCTCATTCTTTGTATGGTATTTACAGACAACTCTTCCCTCCACTGTGAACAGTGGCTGAACTCAGCCACAAGATTGGCTTCTAGTTTTTGGAGAGACATAAAAGGGAAACATTTGGGGTTGGAGAGATGGCTCAGCAGTTGAGAATTCTGGGTGCGCTTCCAGAGGCCCCAGGTTTGACTCCCAGCACCTACTTGGCAATTTGTAACTCTGTTCCAGGGGATCCAATACCCTCTTTTGGACTCCCTGGGCACCAGGTGTGCACGTGGGGCACAGTTATACATACAAGCAAAACACAAATTAAAAATATGTACGTTAACATGGTGTATAGGCATACAACCAGGCAAAACCCATGTATATAATAAAATACTTTTAAACATATTTAATATTAAGTAAAATTTTATATAATTTACTTACCAATTTTATTGTACCCCCAAAGCCTTAATGAGATTTGTGTTTGTTGGAATCTGGGTACTTTGGGTCACAATGATTAATGGTGTTGGGTTCTGTGTCTTTTGACTCCTAGCTATAAATTCCAGCACTGGTAGGCTGAGACAGGAGAATTACTAGAGGTTCAAGGACATCCCAGGCAATGTACTGAAACTCTGTCTCAAACAAAAAGGATGGTATGGGAAGAAAGGTTGCCTCATGACTCTGTAGTGTGGGATGAAGTCAGCTAGTCATAAAAGTTTGTTCTTCACCCTCATGTTGCTAAGAGCGCTTCATTTATCTCACCCCTGGCAGCTTCTGCCTTCACTCTAAGAGTTCCCTGAATAGATGAAAGAAATTTGGGTAATTGCTGAAATGCCTGAATTTGAACTTCTTTTGCAGTTTTAGACAGGATTCCAAGTAGCCAAGGCTGGCCCAACTTTAGGTTCTCCTGCTTCTGCTTCCCATGTGCTGGTGTTAAAGAGAATTTATAAGCATGTGCCACCTTGTCCTGCTGGTTTTTTTGTTTTTGACAGGATCTCACTGCATAACCCTGGCTGGCTTCAAATTTTCCCTTCCTGACCTGGATTTACAGGTATGTGCCACCGTACCTGGCTGAACTGTTTAAAGATTTAATTTGAATCCTAACTTTTATTTGAAGTTTTTTGTTGTGAAGGCAGTTAAGGCAGTTTCACAATATTGCTCAGACTGGCCTTGAACCTGGGAGTATAGGTGTGTACTATAATGCTTGAATTAGGTTCCTTATACTTAACCATTTAGGCTCTTAACCTATACTTCTAATCTGTATAATCAAGGAATCTCCATTTTTATGGAGGAGAGAGAAAGTTACTATTACTCTTATTAGTTCAAGAAGCTTATCTAGTTGTTCATTTGTTTATTTATAGTGCATTTTGAAACTGGTGCTGTTCCAATTGAGTTCTAGCTCTGCCGCTTTCTAGTTGTTCAACCTCTTAAGACCATTAACATTGCATTTTAATATTTCTTTTTATGTGTATGGGTGTTTGCATGCGTGTCCATAACCTGCATGTTTGTGGTGCTGACAGAAGCCCAAAGTGGATCCCTTGGATTTGGAGTTACAGATGATTGTGAGCAGCCATGTGGGTGCTGGGAATCGAGCCCGGGTCCTCTGGAGGAACAGCCAGTGCTCTTTACAGCTGCGCCTCTCTCCAGCCCTACATTTTTATTTTTTAAAACTTGGTGTATAGTGTATGTATGTCAGTTGTATTCTCTCTGTGACTCTCCATCCTATTTCTAGCTATTTCCATCTTACATCTCTCTCTTACCTCCCTGGCCCCATCTCCACGCACTGAGCTTGAAGAGGTGTCTGTGCTCTATGTTCATGCTTGTCCAGCAAGCATTTTACTTGCTGAACCATCTTCCCAGGCCCTAACATTGAATTTTTAATTGTTTAGAGACAAGAGTTTCCTTTCGTTGTCCAGGTGGGCTCCTGGGTTCCCAGGCTCAAAGGATTCTTTGGCCTCAGCTTCCTGAGTAGTTGTGACTAGGGTGATGTACCAGTGCCTTTGTTCCTGGCTTATATACATTTTTTTTTTTTTTTTTTTTTGGTTTTTCGAGACAGGGTTTCTCTGTGTAGCTTTGTGCCTTTCCTGGAACTCACTTGGTAGCCCAGGCTGGCCTCGAACTCACAGAGATCCGCCTGGCTCTGCCTCCCGAGTGCTGGGATTAAAGGCGTGCGCCACCACCGCCCGGCACATTTTTTTTATTTTAATTTTTTATTAGATTTCTTTACATGTATGTGGTTTTGCTTTCATGTATGTCTGTGCACCACATGTGTGCCTGGTGCCTGAGGAGGTCAGAAGAGGGCCTTAGATTCTCTGGAATTGGAGTTATGGATGGTTGTGAGCCATTGTATGGGGGCTAAGAATTGAACCCAGATCTTCTGCAAGAATAGTGCTCTTAACCATGGAACCAACCATCTATCCAGCCCCTCATGTACTTTGTTTTTTTTCAAGATGGTATCACTGTGTGGCCGTTCTGGACTCACTATGGAGATCAGGCTTGCCTGGAACTCAGCAGACATTTGCCTGCCTCTGCCTCCCATGGGCTGGAATTAAAGGTGTGCACCAGTATACAACAAAACACCTGGTACAATGCCTAGACAAGCAAATGCATGGGATGTTTCTTTTGTGTGTCCAATATAGGTGTCTTCCAGAGAATGGTGAAGTATAAAAAGCATTTCTTGTTTTTCTTGGTGCGTTTGGAGTGGGTACAAGAAAGGTTAAAGTAATTGTACTGCATTTTTTTTTCTCCAGGGTCTGACAATTCTGGATGCCAGCACCACAGTTCAGTGTTGCTAGAAGTTTTTGGGTTGCTCCCCCTTGGTATTACTGAGGAGAGTAAATGGTCCTCTCTGCCAGCGCTCAGAGTAGTTGGAAGACCAGGTAGATGAACTTTTAAAAGATTCTGGCAGCCGGGTGGCGGTGGTGGTAGACGCCTTTAATACCAGCACTCAGGAGGCAGATGCAGGCAAATCTCTGTGAGTTGGAGGCCAGCCTAGTTCACAAAGAGTTCCAGAAAAGCCAGGACTGTTACATAGAAACCCTGTGGTGGGCGGGGGGAGAGGAGCAAAAAAACAAAACAAAACCCCAAAACAGGCATGGTGGCTACGTGTTTGTAATCCCAGCACTCCAAAGGCAAAGGCAAGCCAGCCTGGGCTACAAAAACAAAATGGGGGCGGTGGTTGTTTGAGAATTGGCCGTGGGTTGAACGTGGAAGGCTGAACCTGGCGCACTTCCGTGAAAAGCGGTATCTCGGGAGCGATACCTGGATTCCCGGATTCCGGAAGCTGGTGTCACGGAAGCTGGTGTCACGGAGTCAGTTACAAAATTCAAATCTGCTATATGGTCACGCGTGATAGGTGGGTACGGGAAAGGCGGGAGTACGTCAGTTCCCATCTTGCCTTGGGGCTGTGCCCTGTAAAAGGCACTGTACCCGTACCCACGTCCATTTTGTACGCTCGGGAGCGGAGGAGCGGGTAGTGGCTGTGACCTGTGCCAGACACCGCAAGAGCAGGTACCCTAACGGTGGGCTAAGGCGGGCAGTGGTCTCATTTTAGTGTAGTACATTTAATTTAAAACACCACTGTGTGTGAATTAGGGAATATTTTGGGACTGAGATTCCGGTAGACTGTTTTCCCCTCAGAGAAAGTTCTCGGTGGGTGTGTGGTGGGAATGTAGCTGAGGTGGTCCCTGGCACTGCCAAACAGAAGGACGGAGGAAAGCTCCGTTAAAATCCGATTCTGATACGGGGGTGGGGGGTGTGGCGGGGAGACCCGACCGAAGCCTCTTGGGGCGTTTGAGGAAAAGTTTTCGGAGTGGAAGGATGGAGGCTCCCAACAGTGGGACAAGAGGGCATTTTGGTTCCAAACAGGCGGCATAGTGTACGGGTGGGGTAGGAGGAGGGAGGTTGGTCGGTCTGGGACCGGTGGGACAATGGTGGCTTGGCCCGGGTTTAGTCTTAATGTCCTGTGGTAGACTGGCGCCAGCACCACAGTAGCATGGCGGCACAGCCACTTGGAGATGTCCCAAGCGGGTACGGGTTGTGGTTCTGGGGGGACTAGCCAATAAGCTGAGGCCGAGTCAGGTACGCGAAACGGGTGTCGGGCTGAGGGGAGAGTTCTGAGGACCTGGACATTGAACTAGTGGCCTAGCCGAAGGGGAGGGGACCCAGGGTCGAAATCTCATTGATGGGAGCTTCTAGGAGCGAGAAGGGCAAAGTGCCAGAATTTTTTTTTTCTAGAACTTTCCACGAGGCCGGTGGGCGGGGACAGGAGCAAGATCTCTTTGGTAAGTTAGAGAAGCCTGAGGCCCCTGCCTGCGCAGCCAATGAGAAGCTGAGGAAGCAGAGTTGGGCGTTCCTTTTGGAGGGTGGTTCTAGGAGTGGGAGCGGAGGGCGGGGCGGCTTCCGGGAGCGGGAGGTAGGCAAGGTAGAGGGCGGGACCACTTCCGGGGAGGGGGAGCGGTAGGCGGGGCGAAGGGCGGGGCAGTTGGGTGGGAGCTATGGGTGGGGTCTGGGCGGGGTGGGAATGGTGGGCGGTGCCAGGGAGGAGTCGGAGCAGCGGTGGGGGCAGGTCACTGTGCTAGAGGAACCTGAGCAAGAGTGGGCTGCGCCTGCTAGGGGCGGAGGGGCGGAGGGCGGGAGCTGTGGGCGGGGTCAGGGCGGGGTGGGAATGGCGGGCGGTGCCAGGGAAGAGCTGGAGCAGCGAGTGGGGGTAGGGCGCCCAGCTAGAGGGGACCTGTGCAAGAGCAGGTGTCTGGCAGGGATGGGGTGGTTGGCATGTACCCCTATACAGCCCTGCTGGTTAAACATAAATAAAAATTTAAAAACCTTGAAAGTAATCTTTCAAACCTTGAGGTTTGTGATGATTACAAGATCGTGAGTAAAAGGGGAATCACTTTTTAAATTTTTTTAGACTTTAAATTTTTTTTTTTTTTTTTTTTTTTTAAAGATTTTATTTATTTATTATGTATACAATGTTCTGCCTGCATGTATGTCTGCAGGCCAGAAGAGGGCACCAGATCTCATTACAGATGGTTGTGAGCCACCATGTGGTTGCTGGGAATTGAACTCAGGACCTCTGGAAGAGCAGCCAGTGCTCTTAACCTCTGAGCCATCTCTCCAGCCCCGACTTTAAAAATTTTTAAGTCACTTTTTTTTCACTTTTTTTTTTCTTTTTCGAGGCAGGGTTTATCTGTGTAGTTTTGGTGCCTGTCCTCTGTAGACCAGGCTGGCCTCGAACTCACAGAGATCCACCTGCCTCTGCCTCCCGAGTGCTGTGATTGAAGCTGTGCGACACCACCACCTGGCTGTGTTTAATCTTTTTTTTTTTTTTTTTTTTGTTCTTCGAGACAGGGTTTCTCTGTGTAGCTTTGCGCCTCTCCTGGAACTCACTTGGTAGCCCAGGCTGGCCTCGAACTCACAGAGATCCGCCTGGCTCTGCCTCCCGAGTGCTGGGATTAAAGGCGTGCGCCACCACCGCCCGGCTGTGTTTAATCTTTTAAAGATGTGTATATAGGGACTTGAAGGGATGGCGTAGCAGTTAAAAGTGCCTGTTGCTTTTTCAGAGACCCCAAATTTGGTTACCAAAACTCATGTTCAGTGTTCACAACTACCTGTAACTGTAGAAGGTTGTAGAAGCTCTGGAAGGTTCTGATATCTCTGGTCACAACAGTTACTGGTAGTCACGTGCATAGGCAGACAAGACAGATACAATTAAATCAAAATCTTTTAAAAGAAGTGCATATGGGGGCTGGGACCTAGCTCAGTTGGAAGAGAATTTGCTTAGCATGCATGAAACTGGCTTCAGTCGCCATCATTGCATGAAGTTGAGCATGGCAGGCATACTACTATAATCCCAGTCCTCAAGAGGGGGAGACAGGATAAAAACTTCAAGGTCTTGTTCCATTACACGGGGTTTAAAGCCAGCCCAGGATCTAATCTAATGCATTATTATTATTATTATTATTATTATTATTATTATTATTATTATTATTATTTTGGTTTTGAGATAAGGCTTTGCTGTTGAGACCAACCTGGATACAATGTAAGCTCTTAAAGCATCTTCTGACCTTGCATTTCAGAAGCTGCTTGTTGGTTGTCAGCATTTATTGGAGAGTTTTGATATTTTATGGCCTGTGTCTTTGATAGCCCTCACTTTAAAAACTTCTTTTTTTTTTCTCCAGTGATATTCTTAACATGGATACAAGCAGCAGTGAGGACTGTGAGGCCTGTAAGTAGAGCCCTCTTTCAACAGTAATGCACATCAAACGTCTTTGTAGAGTAGACTGAAATGGACACTTGACTTAATCTGGTCCTAGGTTTACCCCCTCCAGTGTGCTCTCTGGGTTGTTGAAATGAAGTTTATTTCCCTGCTGTCAAGAGCAGATCTTCATGTTTTCTTTATGTGTTGTTTACCCTTTTTTGTTTCCTGGGTCTTCTTTCATTTCCTCTCAGTCTTTCTTGAGGGATATAAATTCTTTTATCTCTTCCTTGTGCTAGGCAAGTGTTCTACCACTGACCTATGTCCCCAGTTTTAGAGAAATGTAATTTTCCTAGGTCTAATTTATACATTTTATACATGAGCTACTAGGTTTTATCATGCTTCCTAACGCTTTTTCTTTCCTTGATTTAGATGTGCCTGAATTGCCAGAGAAAAGGTCCAGGTAAGGAGAATTGTTGAAATGTGACTTTTTTTTTTTTTTTAAGGAAGCACCCAGTGTTCTGGGCAAAAAGATTTAAGAGTAAACATCATATTTTCTCTGAGAACAAACACTATATGGTACTGACAGGATCATAGTGGTTGTTCAACTTCATAATTTTTTTTTCCCGGTTTTTTGAGACAGGGTTTCTCTGTGTATCTTTGGAGCCTGTCCTGGATCTCACTCTGTAGTCCAGGCTGGCCTCGAACTCACAGAGATCTGCCTGGCTGTGCCTCCCGAGTGCTGGGATTAAAGGCGAGCGCCACTACCACCCGGTTTATAATCAGTTTTAAAGTATCTGATTCTTATCTTGGGCCATTGTTTAACTGTTCAGTTGTTGCTTTTATTTATTTATAGTTTTGGCTCTTTTTTTTTTTTGAGACAGGGTCTCTCTAAGTAGCCCTGACTGTCCTGGAACTCACTCTATACCAGGCTGGCCCTGAACTCACAGAGATCTTCCTGCCTCAGCCTCCTGAGTGCTGGAATTGAAGACATGTGCCACCACACCCACCCTAGAAGAAAGATTCTTTAAGGCTAGAGTAGTAAATAGGATAGCAAAGGCCCATCAACATGGCAGCTTAAAAGAGATCATGCACAGTAGAAGAAGATTAGCTTTGGTATTTATAGTGGATATAGGAAAATACAGTAACAAGTATTTGGAGTGTTTTTCTTTCATCATAAAAGTGTTTTTATGTTCAGGAGATGGATCACTGGGTAAAGGTACTTGCCACACAAGCCTGATGGCTTGTTTGATTGCCAGAATCCATGTAAAGGTAAAAGGAGAGAATTGACTTCGCAAAGTTGTCCTATGACCTCCACATGTATTCTTTGGCACATGCACATCCACACATACTATTACCCACCACACACACACACACACACACACACACACACACACACAGATGATTTTTTTAAGTATATCATACAGGGGGTTCATGGCTATAATCCTAGCCCTCGGAAGGCTGAGGCAGAATTTCTGTGAGTTCCAGTGTATCTTGGGCTACAGAGTGTGTGCTAGCTAGTTTTATGTCACAGGCTAGAATCATTTGAGAGGAGGGAACCTCAATTGAGAAAATGCCTCCATAAGATTGGGCAGCAGACAAGCCTGTAGGGCTTTTCTTAGGGATTGATGTGGGAGGGCCCAGCCCATTGTAGGTGAAGACACTCCTGACCTGGTGGTCATAGGTTCTATAAGAAAGCAGGTTGAGAAAGCAATGGGGAGCAAGCCAGTAAGCAACACTCCTCTATGGCCTCTGCATCAGCTCCTGCCTCCAGGTTATTGCCCGTTTGAGTTCCTGTCCTGACTTCTTTCCTTGATGAACAGTGATGTGGAAGTGTAAACCAAATAAATTCTTTCCTCACCAAGTTGCTTTGGTCATGGTATTTCATCACAGCAACAGTAACCCTAAATAAGACAGAAATTGGTGCCAGGAGAGGGCATTGCTATGACAGACTTGATCATGTCATTTTGGGGTGGATTGTGAAAGTACTTTGGAACTTTGGGGCTAGAAAACCCATTGAGTGTTCAAAGCTTGGTGAGCTGTCCTATGGGAACTTGGAAGATAAGAGTGTTGAGCGATGCAGATGATGGAGGCATGGTTTATGAAGTTCCAGAGGAAAGATTGGAAATCACTTAAAGACTCTATTTATTAGAGCTATTGCATATTTTGAGTTAAGAATCTGTGGTTCTGGTCAGCTGGGACTGAAAAGTTGGTGTGATTAACATGATACCAGACCCACTAAAGTGAAATCTTTGCTTTCTGGGATAATTGTTGCTGGGCATTGAGGGCTGAGAAATTAGCAGTGATTAAAAAGAGATCACCATCATTGAGGTGAAATCTTTTGGGAAGTATTTTCTCAGAATTAGCACACAGAAGTGGTGCTCCAAAGGTGGCCAAGTTGCTGTGGCCTTGTGCTGGCAGCAGAACCTAGTAGTGTAAGAGTCACCCAGGTGGTACTGGTTTTGAAATCATGAAGGTGTCATGGAGAGCAGCTGAGGCTTGGCACTGTGTGGCAGGGCTGAATTCCCCGAAGAGAGCCCAGGAGAGTCTATTGGTGAAAGTACAGCCCAGTTGCAGCTAGAGAGAGACCTCAGCATTTTGGAGATGGAGGCCATCCTGGTCTTAGGAGACAATCTGTGTGGGCTATAGTGGGTAGAGCCAGAGAAGTGGCAATTTGGAGGAGCTCAGAACATCATGACTGGATCCCAGACATTAGACATTGAATTATTGACAGTTGGGAGTTTGGTTTTGCTTTGTTCAGATTGTGACTGTGCCCTGGTTCTTCCCTCTTGAAGTAAGAAAGTGCTTAATATAGTTTTGATTTTACTGAAGCCCACAGTTGAGAGATTTTGAACTTTTAAAGAGATTTTGGAATTTTACAAAGACTTTGAATTTTAAAAGAGACTAGATATTTTAAAGAGATTGAAATTTTTTCTAAGTGTTTGGAATTTCAAAGACTGGGGCTTTTAAATTTTGTAATGTTCATATTGTAATGTTTATTAATGTGTGATCTTGGTGATGAACAAGAAAGGAAAGGTTATGACAATGATATGTTTGTGTCAGATTGCCAAGGAGTCAGAATGAGAACCTTTCTCTGTGGCTCTCTTTCTACTCTTACACAAATTCATCTCAAAGTTGATGAAGAATGATAAGGTCCAAAACTATTTGAGTACTTGTACTCTGACAAGGTCCAGCTTCCTCTTAGTAGTGGACAGATGCTTCCTTTGGGAAGGTTGTAAAAAAGGCGAATGGGGTACGGAGAAATTAGGAATAATTGAAAGGTTGTAGTTCCAGTGAAGGGGAACAGAGTTGGTGTAGGAATCAACCAAAACTTAAAAAGTAATCCTGCTTATTGTAGAAAGTATGGAAATGCCTTGAAGGGAAGGATATTGTGCTCATATTTTCTTTTGTTTTTTTCCACCGTATTACTTAGCTGTGTGGTGATTAACTCTGATTCTGACTCTGCCCGTGAGGAAAAGAGAGCTAAGATCTGTGAAATAAGCAGTGAAGGCAAGTATCCTCTTCACTTAAGGAGCTGAGCTCTAAAGCCCTGTCACAGGGGCACACTCTATGACAACTTCGTAGCCAGTGCCACCGTTTCTTTCTCCATCATGTGCTGGATGTCAGTCTGGCTGGCTTTCTGTACCTTGGTCTGTTTCCTAACCCAGTTGCAACTCTTCCTACTGCTTTAGGCTTGGGTAGAGTTCTGTCTGCCTAGACTCTGCTCCTCCCTCTTCCTCTTTCCATCCTCTATAGGTCGGAATGACAAGGAAGAGGAGAGGGTAAGAGGCATGGCTTCATTTTCTTTCCAGCTTGGTGGAGCCTGGGAGTGGGGAGGTGCCAACTACTATCTACTCTGTACACTATTGTATAAGGTAGAGAGCACCAAAAGTCCAGCCAGGCCATAATGACTAAATACGTTTTCTAAGCTAGAGAATTTTTAACTTGTTATAGATGAAATACCACTTTATTGATGCATTGCCTTTATTTTGCTATGGGTCACAAGGCAGCGGGTTTATGTTTAGGAACAACTGAGCAAGTTGCTGTTTAGACAGTGTAATTGTTTGGTTGTTTTTCGAGACAGGGTTTCTCTGTGTAGTTTTGGTGCCTGTCCTGGATCTTGTTCTGTAGACCAGGCTGTCCTCAAACTCCTGAGTGCTGGGATTAAAGGTGTGCAACACCACCGAACGGCTGACAATGATTTTAAAGTGGGCATAATACTTCATTGCTACTTTATCTGTCATTGCTCTTAGTAAAATACAAAATAGAGGGAAAACAGTCTATAGCTATGATTTTTGTTTTTTTTTTTTTTTTTGGTTTTTCGAGACAGGGTTTCTCTGTGTAGCTTTGCGCCTTTCCTGGAACTCACTCTGTAGACCAGGCTGGCCTCGAACTCACAGAGATCCGCCTGGCTCTGCCTCCCGAGTGCTGGGATTAAAGGCCTGCGCCACCACCGCCTGGCAGCTATGATTTTTAACTGTGATTCAGAATGTCCAAGCACTCAACAGTTTCAGTTGAATTTGTGCTCAATAACCTGCTGATGTCTGTTTTTACAGAGTGGGTAGAAGGAGTGTGTTTATAGATGTCTGTTGAATTTCAGATGAGTCTTCTGATGAGTTGTTTTCTGATGAGTCTTCCGACACTGGGGACAACGGCGCTCAGAAGTCTTCAGTAATTGTTATCGATGATGAAGAAGATGGCAATTCCTGTTTGAAGGATTCTGAGAAGATAAGAATTGATTCTAGTGATGAGTGCCAACCGCCAGTGCTCCAAAAAGAGGTGGTTGAATGTATTGATTCTGAGCCCATTTCACTTGATGATGATTCTGAAATAGGGGATCTTGGTGAAATTTCCAACAAACCACCACCAGAGCCAGAGCCCCAGCCCCAGCAGGAGCCTGAGCAGGAGCCCGAGCGGGAACCCGAGCCCGAGCTTGAGCGGGAGCCCGAGCTTGAGCGGGAGCCCGAGCCAGAACCCGAGCCCGAGCCAGAACCCGAGCCCGAGCTTGAGCGGGAGCCTGAGCCAGAACCCGAGCCCGAGCGGGAACCCGAGCCCGAGCTTGAGCGGGAGCCCGAGCCCGAGCCAGAGCCCGAGCCCGAGCGGGAGCCCGAGCGGGAACCTGAGCAGGAGCCCGAGCGGGAACCTGAACCCCAGCCCGAGCCCCAGCAGGAGCCCGAGCCCAATCCCCAACCTGAGCCTGAGCCCCAGCCCCAGCAGGAGCCCCAGCCTGAGCCCGAGCCCCAGCCGGAGCCTGTCCCTGAGCCCGAGCGGGAGCCCCAACCTGAGCGGGACCTCCAAACCGAGCAGGAGCTGGAGCCAGAGCCGGAGCTGGAGCCAGAGCTCGAGCAAAAGGTTACAGCCGAAGAGGCCAAGGAAAGAAAGGCTGCAGCTCTGCTGGCCCAACAAAGAAAGAAGAGAAAAAATAGGTTTATATGTATGGCACCTCCTAAGTCACATAGGAAACGTCGTAGGGTTGTCTCACAGGATTTGCCCAGCCTGCCAAGTGCCTCTGCAGAGCCTAGTCCTCCTGATGAGCCCACATCATCAGAGCAACCTGTTCCTCCTGCCGAATGCATGCCATTAAAGAAACCCAAAGGCAAAAGGGGACGCCCACGCAAGGTAGAATGATCTTTGTGCGAACGGGGTTGGGGGCTCCCATGTCCATCTTTCTTACACTCCAGTATGTTAGCATTTACTCTTCAGTACCTCTGGAGTGCTTTTTCCCTGAAATACCTGTCCCGAGGATGTCCTGGGTCGTCATCCTCAACATGCCCCCATAACTGGTTAATTGTTAATTCCTCTATGCAGCCATAAGTTAGAATGGCTCCTCCCTCCTAGGTTCCCAGTTTTAGAGTTTTTATCAAGTGTGTAACATGTTGCCGAATTTGTCCCCTCAGAAGTCTGTTCATAAAAGGACTCTTGATTTATTCTCTTGAGGGTCTAGCCTCGTGAGTGGCATGTAACAAGATGTTTAATAAATTTGTTAAATAAAGTGAGTGAGGTCTCTGGCTGGAGTTATTGGCATTGTGGGTTCTGGAAGAAGGCAAAAGGTGAGGTCTGACTTGCAAATTGGGTGAAGGTGCTACTGGGGATATGGGGTACACCATGCCACTCTTTAGATTGCATGTGTCTGATAAGTTTTTTCACTCTGAAGGCCTCTCCACCGATGCAGCAAACTGAATCAAGACAGAATCACGAAAAGCCCAGGTTTAATGGATGAAGCGTCCTAGGTGATTTCCTGGGGCCCTTAGGAGACCAGAAGAAGCATGAGTCTGTTTTTCTGGGATACCATTTATATATATCCCCCTGTGGGCATGGTCTTGAACCTCTTTGGGGGCGGAGCTGTGTTGGGCGGGCTCTGAAGGGGCAGGTTTGGGGAGGAGCTGTGTTGGGCGGGCTCTGGAGGGGCGGGTTTGGGGCGGAGCTGTGTTGGGCGGGCTCTGGAGGGGCGGGTTTGGGGCGGAGCTGTGTTGGGCGGGCTCTGGAGGGGCGGGTTTGGGGCGGAGCTGTGTTGGGCGGGCTCTGGAGGGGCGGGTTTGGGGAGGAGCTGTGTTGGGCGGGCTCTGAAGGGGCGGGTTTGGGGAGGAGCTGTGTTGGGCGGGCTCTGGAGGGGCGGGTTTGGGGAGGAGCTGTGTTGGGCGGGCTCTGAAGGGGCGGGTTTGGGGAGGAGCTGTGTTGGGCGGGCTCTGAAGGGGCGGGTTTGGGGAGGAGCTGTGTTGGGCGGCTCTGAAGGGGCGGGTTTGGGGAGGAGCTGTGTTGGGCGGCTCTGAAGGGGCGGGTTTGGGGAGGAGCTGTGTTGGGCGGCTCTGAAGGGGCGGGTTTGGGGCGGAGCTGTGTTGGGCGGCTCTGAAGGGGCGGGTTTGGGGAGGAGCTGTGTTGGGCGGGCTCTGGAGGGGCGGGTTTGGGGAGGAGCTGTGTTGGGCGGGCTCTGGAGGGGCGGGTTTGGGGAGGAGCTGTGTTGGGCGGGCTCTGGAGGGGCGGGTTTGGGGAGGAGCTGTGTTGGGCGGGCTCTGGAGGGGCGGGTTTGGGGAGGAGCTGTGTTGGGCGGGCTCTGGAGGGGCGGGTTTGGGGCGGAGCTGTGTTGGGCGGGCTCTGGAGGGGCGGGTTTAGGAATCAGAAGGTAGCAGTATGGAGCCTGCCCACACAGTCTTGTATGTGCTGCCCTGTGCTTGTGAGAGCCTTTTTTTTTTTTTGAGACAGGACTCCCTCTGTAAACTACTCTGGCCTCAAACTTGGAGATCCCCCTGCCTCTGTCTCCCAGGTGCTGTGCCTCCAACACCCAGCCAGGAGAGCCCTACTTGAGCTTCTGTCAGCTGCTTGATGGTACCAATTTTCAGGGTACAATCAACTATTATCCTTTCAGCTAATAGTAGACCAAAAAAATTAGGGGCCTTCCCAGAAGAAACCCATTGCAGCAGAAGTTGAAAATTGCAAGACTGGATATGTGTACTGCTCACATACTCACTTGCATGAAATATGATGGCATATTTTTTTTGTGTGTTCATCAGTCCAGGGGATACTGGAGACTTGAAGGGGATGGATTTGTTATGCCCAGATTGTGACCCCAAAGAGACCACTGAAGACCGAGGATGTCCAGAATGCAACAGCAAGGTTTATTCTGTAGATACAAGTCTAGACAGGGAACTCATTCCTACACCCAATACAGTGAGGCAGGGAGGAGTTGCTCTTTCTTTGTGAGGCTAGCTTTTTAAAGGCAAAAGCCGCAAGCCCTTCAGGGCGGTGGGGGGGGGAGGGGTTGCCACGGGTGCAACTCGGATTGGTTTATTTTTATTTTTGAAGGTCTCTTCTCTTTTAATTGGGTGAGGGTATGTAACCTTTGAATTTACTGGTTGGTGTTTACAATTACCATTTTGGGGGCTGTCCTGGACAAGTCCCAGGCTCTGTCCTTGAGCTGCCATGAGGGCTGGCTGGCCAAGCACGTACTGACTGTGGGGGCTGACTCAGTGGCCCAGGCTCTGTCCTTGAGCTGCCATGGAGGCTGGCTGGCCTCGCACACATTGACCCATGCACGTAGCTCTAAGTTGGTGAGGGGTCCCAGACAGTAAACAACTGGCTGAACCTTGAGCGGTCAGAGTACATGCAGAAAGGGAGCTACTGCAAGGACTATGTCTTTTGTTCATGGCCCTCCCAGAAACTGCTTGCTCAAGTCTCAGGAAACTGAAATTGAGGCCTGATCTCTGAAAGAAGACTGATCAGCCTGTTATGGCATCTACTTGGTCCTTTCAGAGTCTGGTTGGACAAAAGTTTCTGGCCCTAATTGGGCATGCACATGTAGAGTGATGAGGTCACCTGCTGGTTCCATGTGTCATCATCCTGCCCCCCCCCCAGCTATCTAGCCAAAGGACAATGCCTGTGTGCTCTACTTAAATCTTAGCTGTTACCTGGCAGAGTGCTTCACAGCCCCTCTGGCCTCCGAAGTTTACGTTATCCTTACACTCAGGTCGAAGATGTATATGTAGCCAAGGCACTTTGTTTGTTTTTGTTTCTGTTTTTGTTTTTTCGAGACAGGGTTTCTCTGTGTAGCTTTGGTGCCTGTCCTGGATCTCCATCTGTAGATCAGGCTGGCCTCAAACTCACAGAGACCCACCTGGCTCTCTGCCTCCTGAATGCTGGGATTAAAGGGCCAAAGCACTTCTTAGGCTAGACACAGCCTGATGGCCATCCATTTGTACTTAAGCAAGCCAACACAGTTGAATGTGATGGCACATTAATCCCAGCAATCAGCAGGCAGAGGCAGGACAATTAGGAGTTTAAAGGCTGCCCTCTACAAATCAAGGTCAAGGCCTGTCTGGGCTACATGATACTCTTACCTCAAAAAAATCAACAAGGCAATTGCATGTTCTGATCTGGGGTCTTAGGGAGGGTAGTTAAAAATGTCTTCCAGGTTTTTCCAGTTCTTTCCATGAGCACATTTCCCCTTAATATTGTGTATATTCTTGGGTTTTGTTTTGTTTGGCAGGATTGGGGTTAGAACCCTTGGCCTTGAACATGCTGCCAAGCACTCTACCACTGAGCCACATCCATGCTATCCTGTGAATTTTCAAAGCATCCGTGACACAAGAAAAAAAATGTTAGGGTGCGGTAGATTGCTTGGAGTTCTTTTATTAAGTCACAGGAAGCTATCAAAAACAAGTGATTGCATGGGTCAAAGGCATGTTACTACTTAAGCTAGAAGTCAGTACATTTTCTCATTTAGATTCTAAAAATCTCACTTTGCCCTTTAAAATAGGATTTTCAGTTTTATCTCTTGTTTTACTTCCATTTGGGAGTAATGCACACTTACATCTGAATTATCTTGTTTTGTTTTTGTTTTTTGAGACAGGGTTTCTTTGTGTAGCCCTTGCTGTCCTGGAACTTGCTTTGTAGACCAGGCTGGCCTGGATGGAACTCACAGAGATCTGCCTACTTCTGCCTCCTGGGTATTGGGATTAAAGGTGTGAGCCACTACTGCCTAGCTATATCTGGATTATCTTAGAAAGTATATATGAAGAAGCATATTTTTGTGTTAGCATTTTTTTTTGTGGGTTTTGTTTTTGTTGTGCTTGGGGATGGAACAGACTACTTCAGCCTGGTGATAACTTATTAAGTTTATATTTTGGGAGAGAAAAATCTTCAGGGAGGGGAAGGGGAAAAGAATTGGTATGTCAGGTGTGGGGTAGGGGAGGTCAGCTTCGATCTGAGAAAAAGGCTTTGTGTCCCTGTGCTTTTTGTGGCTGAGATGATTGGGACAGTTCGCCATGTGCTCTAGGACCCCTATCAGCAAGGGATCATCTCTGGATTCTATATATATGTTTAAGCTGCTTTGCCTATAGGGATGCTTGTCTCGATCATATCCAGGTTGCTTTGCTGACAGAGGAAAGGAGAAGCTGCCTCTTGGTATCCTTGTCACTCCCCTTCTTCTGCAGTGGCCCGCCTGTTTGAACTTTTAGCACTATCTTGTTGAACTTCATTGCTCTGGGAGCCTCCTGCGGTGCTTTCCATAGTTCTTGTATAGGCTGCTGCTGCTTGTTAATTCTTTTGATGTGATGTGGGGTGCACAAGCTTGGAGAGAAAGTTTGGTTTGCTAAGCCCCAAAGCTAGCTTTCTCTGAGTAGATGCTCAGGTCCTATTCTCTGCTGCATCTGGCAGGTGGTCTTGGTTGTCATCTGCTGCCTTTACTGATACATACCTAGTGTTGAAGAAATGGGAGCTTGTGAAGTCACAAACTCACTGTGTTCCCATTTCTTTTTCTAGCTCTGTGGGCTTATTTCTCTGGTTGTGGTTTGCTCTAGCCATTGTTATTATTATTATTAATTTTTTTTTTGGTTTCTTTGAGACAGGGTTTCTCCATGTAGTTTTGGTGCCTGTCCTGGATCTCGCTCTGTAGACCAGGCTGGCCTCAAACTCATAGAGATCCACCTAGCCCTGCCTCCCGAGTGCTGGGATTAAAGGCGTGCCTCTAGCCATGATTTTTAAAAAGCCTCCTCCAGGTATAGTGGCACATCTAGTAAATCCCAGCAATTGGAATGATTGCCACGAGTTTTGGGCCAGCCTTGCCTATGTGGCAAGAGCTTATCTCCTAAAAAAAACCACTTCCAGAGGGAGGAAGGATTGTACAAACCAGACAGGTCAAGGACATCACAAGGGAACCCACAGAAACAACTAACCTGGCTCATTAGGGGCTCATAGAGTCTGAACCAACAACCAGGGAACCTTCATGGGACTGACCTAGGCCCTCTGCATGTAAGTTACAGTTGGTAGTGTAGGTGGAGTTTTCCTGTCCTGGCAGCCGTTTCCCAAATAACCAACACGGAGACTCAGTATTAATTGTAAATGCTCGGTCAATAGTTCAGGCTTGTTACTAGCTAACTCTTACATTTAAATTAACCCTTATTTCTTAACTATACTCTGCCACATGGCTTGGTACCTTTTCTCAGTAAGGCATGCCCATCTTGCTTCTCTCTGTCTCTGCTGGTGTTTCCTCTAAATCTACCCT